CCTTGACTGATCAAACACTTGGCTGGGAAAAATTGTGGCGCGTGGCTTTTGATCCCTTCAAATAACTGAAGTCATTTTTAAGTGTAGAAACACTGTTCCCAGGTCAGCAACAGCAAAAAACAATGTTGCCTTGTCCAAAAAAATATTTTGTGGTTGTTTTTAAATTCAAAGTCAGTTCAGTAACATGACAAGCATAGAGCAAAAAAACAAAAAAAAGGATTATGTTCAGTTGGACTGAGGAATTCTAGCCCTGAGACATTGTCAGCGAATGTTTTGCAGTATACGCTGATTAAAAAAACATTTCTCCATTATACTGATCAAAATCGAAATGGAATCTGTGTAGCAAAATAAAAAAAACATGCATGTCACAACTCTGTAAAACTTTTTACATACAAAGTCATGAATACCACATTTGGATGATGGAGAGCTGAGGACAGGTGAGAGCAGAAAGAGCAGCTGACAAAGAGCGACTTTGAGACAGCAAACTATAGACCAGAATGGGTTCTGTATAGGAAGCATAAAGGGATGGATACTTTAGGAGTCAATGTGTGGCAGGGAGAGGAGGATGTGGAGGGTGAAAAAGAGGAAGGTATAGGTCAAGGACAGGAAGAGGTGGGGGAGAGGAATGTGTTGGGGTGAGACAGACAGGAGGACATGGCCACACTGACTGCAATGTGTTTCTTTTCTCATGCGAAGACAGAGAGACAACATCGAAAGTACGCTGTAATAAATGTCCCTGTTAAATTACAGTAAACTACTGGCAGCTACAGCTTCCAGCATTCAACTGTAATACAGTGCACCTACTGTAATCTACAACAACAGTTTTATCATGTAAATGTTACTACAGTACTGTTCTGTATAAAAAAAGCCATTATACTGTTATTTAAGTATTCCTACTGTTATCTCAATGAACAGTTTAATACTGCAACATGCATGAAAGGACTATGGAATGTGATATTTACAGTATAACACTGAACAGCTGATGATTATAAAATATTACAGTTCAAAATTAAAACGTCTGAAAATTGCTGGCATAGAAACGACTCCGACAACAGATGGCCTTACAATATTTAACTTTTACTAAAGCCAAAGCAGTATCAAACACATTAATTACTGACAATTTAAAGTGATTGCATTTTCGCAAAATACAATTAATAACATCACCATTCCTCAAACTGAACAAATCCTTAGTTCTAGTCCATGTGCCTGAATTTAGTTTCTATTTTTGATAACATTTTCTATAACCCCCATGTCCATAATGCATTACACACATACTTATTTTGCGTAATAACCAGCTTATGCTGTATAGTTATAAACTCATAAGTATTCACAATGCTTTACAACAATGATCATAACAAATTATAAAGCAATTTATAATAACTTAAAAGGTCAATTATCATAATATAAACAATAATTGTGTCCATTTTACATGAGTTATGAACATTAATGCCATAGAAAGCAAGAGAAAGAGCAAATCTGGAACTGTACGATTGAGACAACTAGATGGAACTATACTGAATTGAACAGAACATTTTAGAGACTTGTTACCTTAAAATGACAACAGTAACATCTGGTTAGTGTGGGCCGTTCCTCTTCCTTCCTCCTATGTGAGGTCCTGTGTGGGGGATGTAATGTGGTCTTCTTAACACCCCACTCACAGTCCAGGACTTTGTTTATGAAGGCGACTACAAAGGGATTCACAGCTGCTGCCTTTCTCTGGACCAGCTTCCCTGTATTCTTTGACACCACCTTCCCCTGGTTGGCATCTGTCAGCAGTATCAGTCATGGACTCGCTGGGAGCGTCAGGGTGGCAGACATCTGTAGAACATGGACAATGGTATCTAAATTAAAAAAGTGTTTATAGTGATAGTAGACATTAAAAACAAAAAACAAAACTTACATCAGCAGGGAGTATCAGTCCCTCATTTCGTTCATGGAAGTGGGCCATCATCAGCTCTTATTGGCATCAGTTTGCATAGTAAGCGTGCTTCCCCTCCCTGTGGGGAGAAAAGCAACATGATACATCCTACAAACCGCTTTACTTGAAATAACTTTAGCCCCACTGTCACGATTTATGTTTTGATTTAGTTATTTATTCTGTTTTATTGAGATGTTCTGTGTCTTGCACTTTATTTCCTGCCTTTGTCTGTCTTACCCCTGTGAGGGTCTGCCCTTCCCCTAATTAGACACTGCTGCGTTCAATCACCTGCACCTCCTCAGTCTGCTTCACTTCACTTTCTGCCCGTCTGTTCCTCTCGTGGTCGTCTGCCCCACCCTTAATTGAAACCTGTTGTGTCTAATCACCTGCACCTTCTTTAAACCCTGTGTGTCCCTTGGCTCAGTGTTGGTTTGTCTTTGGTGTAACCTGGTCCGAGTCCTGTTCCCCGGAGCCCCGTCTCCGAGAGTCTTCCCAGTCTGGCTCCCCGGAGCCCCAGTCTCTGCCCCTGTCCGTTCCTCTCGTGATCGTCTGCCCCACCCTTAATTGAAACCTGTTGTGTCTAATCACCTGCACCTTCCCTGTGTATTTAAACCCTGTGTGTCCCTTGGCTCAGTGTTCGTTTGTCTTTGGTGTAACCTGGTCCGTCTGTCGTCTGCCTGCCATTACCTTCCGGTACGTTTCATGTTTGCTCCCCTTTGCCGTGTTCCCTGTTTCTTTAGATGTTTTATTTTCATGGACTTGTGATTCACACCTTTTTGTGTTGAATACTTTTTTGTTACAATTAAACCCACAATTATCCAACCCTCCATTTCCCGTGTCTCCCTGCATTTGGGTCCAGCCCTTTATTTTCTGCAAAAACCTTACACCCACTATAAATGTTAAAGTAGAGCCTAGGCCCTTAGCCTACGTAGATTTTACAACACAACAATATGGGATCACGTCGTATGTAGGACCTTTGATTTAACATTAATTAAATCTAAATTGAATTAACATAGCAAATGATATAGCCTGAGTTAACAAAGCCTTTATGGTGAATGCAAATGACCAAGCTAATGTCAGCTAACTTAACTCATTTTGTTGATTCGATCGCAGAGAAATTCAATCCAGGGGCTATGAAAATCAAATAACTCGACACGTTAACGTGGTTCGACAGAAATATGACAATATCAAATAGTATCCACTCAGCAGCTAAAGGAGAGTTCGGTATTCTAGCTGGAGTTTGCTGAAAGCGTTTGCATGCATGCTAGCAACGTGCGGGGAACACCAAGTAACGTCAACAAAAAAAAAATCTGTCAAAACAATGTAAATTCAACACAAAATGACATAACTGGGTAACGCTAACTTTGATAACATCTGAATGACCTTAAGTAAAACACAGGAGCAGGACGGAGGAGTCCGCTGCGGTGGGTGGGGCCAGAGTCTGGTCAATATTTGCCTTCTCCAATTCTTCCTCTTCCTCTTCTTCCACCTTCTATCTTTGATATAATCACAGATCCATGATTAACACCTATTTTCAAATTTCTTTAAGTTGACTGTGTGCTAAGTAAATTAGTGGGACTCGATGCAGCGTGGTTTTACTCCGATGAGTTATGGGCGGACTCGGAGTCGAAAGAAAGAAAATGCTGTAGTATACTGCAAGATTGGACAGTAGCTTATTGTTGATATTTTCTTTCTTCTAAGGCATCAACATTTGGTGTATTCAACTGTATAGGTTGGATCAAGATGCATAAGTCATTTTGATGGTATTATCTCAGCAGTCATGCCACCACTTTGGTTTTTCTGTCTCCATGTGGTTTCATCTGCGAATGTGAAGCCTTTTGAAAGAACTGCTTGCATGCTCAACAGGATGTCTGCAGCTTGCACTTGCACAAGCGGAGTGACTCTTCCCAGCCAGAGTAATGCCAGCAGATCGGCCGGCTGGTCGAAACATGTGGTCAGACATTGAAGACGAATCACGGTGTTCAAATGGTCACACAGAGCGTTATCTATGTTGCTCTGGGCCTCTTGACAGACTTGCTGCAAAATACATTATGAAGAGTAAATACATCTTGAAAGAAATATAGAAGCTCTGACTGTGGTTAAAGTGTTTCATTTAAGTCTGCTGTCTTTCTCAAAATGAATACTCACTGAAGCAGTTCAGTCGGACATTTGGCAAAGTGTAAAAAATGATGATACATCACTATAAATGGCAGATGGTATCCTGTGGAAATATTCTGTGACTAATCTCTAACATCACTTTCATTAAGTTGTTCTCGTTTGTGAACTTGTGTTGAGCTCAAACAAACATGCCTCACGTCATCAATACAGATGAGTATTGAACCGGCATGCAGCCCCAATGAATGCATTTTGATGGGTTGTTTAGATGCTGCTAAACTGCTCCAGATTATCATCTGCGCAAAGCCGACAGAAGAGTGTGTTCAATGACGCATGAAAAGATTTAGCTCAGCTAAAAAATATAACATATAATAATAATAATAATAATACTTAAATACTGGTTTGAATACTCTATAGAGCATGATTCAGTATAGTCAGTTAAATTCAATTTGAGCTTCATAGTTGCTTTAACTGCAACTATACTAGCAACAGTGTCTTTTTAATGCAATAAGATATAATGAAGCATATGAGAATACAGTATAGTATAAAGATAGCTAGATAGATATAGACTATTCATCCCCAGGGGGAAATTTGTAAAAGCATTCAGGTTGAAGATTGTGGTTGTGTTTTCAACAGCTCAACTGCAGCAGTACAACCAGCCAGCAGTTTTGTACTGCAGCTCTAATGTGTGCATGTAAAGTAGGGTGGTGCTGAAAAAGACCTCAGAAAACCTTCCCTGAATAAATTAAAAGTTAAAAAAACGAATGTTACCCAGAGTGCTGTCAGTCCACTGCAGACATGCAACATACACTAAAAGCCATTCCTTGTCCTCTGATAGGCTATACTGTCTTGCTGTGATGTCATGAGGGCTTGCTTATAAAAAAGGGAGACGGACTCAGCTGCTTCAAAAGGGCAAGTGTGGTCGAGGGCTGAAGGAGTGTGTTTATACATGTACAGGAAAGGGAGAGCGGGGCAGTGTGTGTGTGTGTGTGTGTGTGTTTGTGTGACACTCACAACTCGGCAGAAGAGAGCGAGACCAGAAGCTCCTGACAAACACATTATGATGATACTTTGTGTTGTGGATTTAAAGGCGTTTGGATGATCAAATCACTGGATTGTAAAGCGCAGGACGGAGGCTGGAGGTAGGAAAACTAACTGGAATGTTAAGTCTGGTGTTTGTACATATATGCATGCATATGTTTATTAAAACATCTACTCGTGATGACACCACAGCTATTTAAAAAAACTATTTTATTGTTTACCGGTTTGGACATTCCAGAATTCTTAAATGATTCCACTGGTGAGGGATCAGATCAATGCCATTCGAAAAATCAACAGGTTTTTCTGGATTTACTAAAACATTTTAAATCATTTTATCACTGCAAAAGGAACAGATTTTCACACTTTTATCAATATGTTGAGCTAAGTTATACCTGAGGTCTTATGTCAAATTTGCAGTTTTTCATACATATATGATACATATAAATAAATCAGTATATATATATATATATATATATATATATATATATATATATATATAT